TTGCTTCCTTGAACTGACCCCTGTACTGACCCCGCTGTACGTGTACATGGTACGGTCACTCTTCCTTATCCGCGCACACACCCCACGCACACATACGCACCGAACCAATCTTGATGCCTGCAGGAGTTACCCAGGCGGTCTCGTTGAACTTCTCAGTCACCACAAGAATTTTGTCGCAGATTTCCTTGGGAGGCTTCGGCGGGGGCTTGTGCTGCGGCTTCTCGCGGTCATGTTCCTTTCCGCCGCCGAAGACAGGTCCAGCGCTGAGCAGCAGCAGGGCCGCCAAAGCAAGCAAGGTCGTGTTGCTACCGCTGCTGCTGTGGCGAGACATGTCGATTTGTTGTTCTCGACAAGTGGGGATGTGCAGATGTCCCAATGGACAATAAGGCCTGATTATATGAAAGTGTAATGGGCCGAGTGTATTGATTGAACAAGATGATGTACTCAGAAATTTGTCAAACATCACTCTATATACTCGATCGCGTGCTGCAGGTACAACGTTATCAGCCGACCCGAGACTGTAGCTATAGCCGGTCCGAGACTAGCCGACAGCAGTAACCCAGCCGAGCCAAAGTCGGTCGGCCGAGCCAATCTTGTCGATCACAGACCGAGCTATTCACGCCTGGCAGCACTGAGGCGATCGACCGGGCTGGCCGAGCATGGAATCCCGACGTCCTCCGGGTGCCGTATACTACTGCTTCATCTCGTTCCGCCATAAAAGACGAAGTCTGCACCCGAAGATGCCCGCCTCTAATGTTTCGGTGACCTCATGCATGCGCAATATGTACCCAGATAGATATATGTGGGCACACAACGCAGGCAGGGCTACATTCCATGCGACAAGCCGACACAGCTTGTTGGCTGGAGCAATGAACTTGTACCGTCGGAACATTATCTATTCTTAATTTTCATGACAGAACCATTTTCATTCTGAATTAGGTATATTTTTCACCAACAAAAAGGCTGGTGGGTGGCTGGGCGATATTGTCGCCGAATAATACTGCTGCAGCATAGCACTTACTACGACACGTAGTGCGATCCAACCAATGACATTGGCGTATATCGAGGTCTGAATAATGACAGCAATACCAATATGGTCGCTATTACACGTAGCTTGGGCGTGATAGCGAGCTTTGAGTATCCTGCTTCTTGCTGAGAACATGTCCTGAGAGCTCGGAACCCGTCATCTATGCACCATTACCGTCGTAGGGCACACGCCTGAAGAGTATTTACAACTGCTGCCGTAAAAATCAAAGTAGATTTCAAATGGGTAGAGGATTTCTCATAGATCATCATCATTGTGGATTGAAGGGTTTATCTCATGTGGTTTTAACCTCTCCTCTAATGAGAAGCAAACTAATTCCAAACGACTGTTGCGTGTACATTGCCTTCCATCCACTGCTGGGAGCTGCACCTGAGAGACTCATACTGATGCTCTGCCCTGCTGCTCTGGCAATTACTATTCATGTGGTGGCTGGGCAGCTGCAGGCGTTTCGCCTTTCAACACTATTGCTGCGTCCGAGGTTCGCGCGGTGTAAGTTGCGTCCGTAAGCGTTGTTACACAGCCAGATAGAGGTAGCGATTTCTTCCTCAGATGGTTATTACCACTGTACGGCCGGCGTGAGCCCGCCTGACACTTATCCAAGCTCCGGTCGGCACTCACACGCACATACACACGCCCGCACCCCTTTATACCCTATGAAGCTTCATACGTGAAGCATACGCGGAGGATGTGTATCTGGATGGATTACGTGGGAGATAGAGCTGGCAGGGCGCAGTATCGGCAGAAAACATATTACCACGTACGGCAAGCAAGTAGCAACAAACGATACATACGTGCATGCGACAAGCCCTTGCATGCACATGCATTCAGTTTGCATGTTCGGCTATTGTCTGTGTGACTGGAAGTCACCGCCCCAGCACCCAAATGCAGATCGGACGATAACAGCTACATTTGTATAGATCACGCGCATCTGTTACCGTCGGCGTACATACGTCCGTGCGTGCAGGCGACAACAGAGCAGCAGGCGGGCAGCAATCCCTTCACCAGTCGGACAACGATTCTCATCAGATGGATAGCTCAAATCAGGCGTTTCCATCCGGAGTTGATAGATAAACCATGTTCTTCCAACAGTTCTTCATTCCTAATTATTAAGAGTATTTATTACTTGTCATAGCACTTGGGCTCGTCCTCAAGCACGATCTTGTATGCGTACACCTCGCCCTGCTTCAGCACCTTCACTTTCACTACGCCCTCAGCGCCCCTGTAGATGCCCGTGCCACCGGTGACGGCGTTCTCGAAATAAGCATCCTGCACGTGCAGCAGCACACGCACGAAATATCGCTGACGTCTCATGCTGTGGCGACCAGCAGGCAGCTAGGCCAGCAGTATGTATGTTATTACAGGGTGGTTAACTTCGCCAGCGGCCCCCTTTCCCGGGGCAGTCCCTGCTCTCCCCTGCTAGAGGGGCACCCTAATCCGTCACCCCATCCGACTTCAGAATGTATTCGTTGGGTTCGGCAACTCACCACCAGCATCCAACCAAATCTAGCGGATCAACGGCGCATCAACTTAGTTCCTGGTCAGCTCGCAAGTTGATATAGCAGTATGTACACGGCAGTATGTACACGGCAGTCCTGTCCTGACGGCACGTACGCGCTCATCCTTGCTTGCACCACCACCCACCTGAACATCTGTGAAGGGTCCGAGGAATGTGATGGTGCCAAAGATACCAATCTCCAGCGTGTTAACGCAGTAGCTGTACCGCAGATCAAACTGGTAGCAGAAAGCGCTAACCATTCCAATCTGCATTTGGATACGAGCAGGAGGACGTCATTTGAGAGATGATTTTATTGCCACTACTACCTACCTAGCTGCTTGGCAATATGTAACAGCCTTGGGCCATGGCTCGCTACGTACGACGGATGTAGCTATCATCACTATTAAGCTAGACAGCTAAACACCGCAAGCCACATCGATATCTAAAGCAAGCTATGTTCGTCACTTCGTTGGCATTATTATTTTGACAGCAGCTGTGTTTATGTTCCCCAGCCAGCTACGTAGCCTTCTGTATGCTCGGTCATTCATCAGCAGTACCTGCATCCCCACCCACGCATCATGCTGCTGCGGTTGCTGTTGCTGCTGCTGCTGCTGCTGCGGTTGCTGTTGCTGCTGCTGCCTACCTTTGTCTTGGGCGTGACGCATGCCCCCAGGTACAAGGGATCCCTGTAGCCAAGGCTGTAGCCGATAACACGGGACAGATCCTGCAGTGTATGCATCACGTACGTCGTCGTCAATGAGCATTGCCACGTGCAAATACTTAATTGGAGTGGCCAGGGCCATCCATGTACTATGCTTGCGTGCATTATCACGCGCACGCAGCTGCGGGCGGTGGTTGTGTGTTGCGAAGACGTCGAGCGAACCAAAGTGCACAGGAAAGGCTGCGCTGCTGAACCACCGTGGGCCCGTAGGTACACAGATGCAACCCTCACTCGCAATCTATCCAATCGTCCCAGCAGTGAAAATGGCGGCAGCCACGGAAACACATGCACGTGCGCTCGCGTGGCGGGAAAGAAAATGCAAACTACAAAGAACGCACGGAAAATGCGTGCCCTTGCTTCCTTGAACTGAACCCTGTACTGACCCCGCTGTACGTGTACATGGTACGGTCCCTCTTCCTTATCCGCGCACACACCCCACGCACACATACGCACCGAACCAATCTTGATGCCTGCAGGAGTTACCCAGGCGGTCTCGTTGAACTTCTCAGTCACCACAAGAATTTTGTCGCAGATTTCCTTGGGAGGCTTCGGCGGGGGCTTGTGCTGCGGCTTCTCGCGGTCATGTTCCTTTCCGCCGCCGAAGACAGGTCCAGCGGTGAGCAGCAGCAGGGCCGCCAAAGCAAGCAAGGTCGTGTTGCTACCGCTGCTGCTGTGGCGAGACATGTCGATTTGTTGTTCTCGACAAGTGGGGATGTGCAGATGTCCCAATGGACAATAAGGCCTGATTATATGAAAGTGTAATGGGCCGAGTGTATTGATTGAACAAGATGATGTACTCAGAAATTTGTCAAACATCACTCTATATACTCGATCGCGTGCTGCAGGTACAACGTTATCAGCCGACCCGAGACTGTAGCTATAGCCGGTCCGAGACTAGCCGACAGCAGTAACCCAGCCGAGCCAAAGTCGGTCGGCCGAGCCAATCTTGCCGATCACAGACCGAGCTATTCACGCCTGGCAGCATTGAGGCGATCGACCGGGCTGGTCGAACATGGAATGTGCAATAATGTCGCATTAATGCGGGCGTGGCGATAGTATTGAAAGGCGAGAATCCTGCCCCGCCACCGCAGAACACGGAGCAGGTACACCTTCTCGATACCAATTGCTACACCACGACTTCAGAAAAGTAATACATATAGTGCGGATGCAGTAATCGTAATATGCCAAGGATGCTACACAGATCACGTGTCGTTGATGTCATGACTGGCTGCAAATAGTCATAGTGTGGACTGTTGCGCCGCGTCCTGAGTTGGAGTGTCGCAGGGAGCCCTTGAAAAGGCACAAAGTAGCACCGGAGTAAATGCTCTGTCCATTACCGGTGTTGGCACAGCAGCGAGCGTGTGTAAGTGTCACACAGCACTGAGCCAAGAAACGCCCGGTGCACAACGTGCGGTCCACATTGTTGTTGGCTGCGGCAGCGCCTGCATGTCCACCCATGCCGAGCAGTGCATCAGCACCGACCTGTTGCATGGGCAGCAACCGTGCCCGTGGCAGTATGTAGCCATCCCTGCAGCAGTAGCCGTGTCGACACCCACGGCCATGCGCCCACATCATTCACTGCGCCCACAGTGACCACACCTGCAGCCGCACCCATGTGGCGTACGTACGAGCACGTGCACATGCGTGTCTCTCCAAGCCAGGAAACTGATAGCGAGGCATCTGTTTCCTGCCGTACAGCACATCTTACATTTGTAGTCCCTAAAGGCAAAGGCGATATGGCGATCAAATAAGTACAGCTGTTGCAGTAATGACACAGGAACATTACACAAAATGGTGCATCAGACTCCATCAGACAGAAGCTAAGCGTACCCCCATTTCATGCGCTTCAAGCAGGCACTCGCATGGACATACATACGCCCCGTACGGTATCTGCTAGTACGTACCCAACCTCTAGCTATCTTGTGGCGAGGACAACCAAAAGCCCCAAACCCCAGAACAGATCACCCGGTCTCTGAAACGGATATTATATATCCTGCGGATTGTGCGGCGACAGTGCAGCCATCAGGAGCTGACGATGAAGCTCAACTCCAACAATGTGAAAACCAAGCGCGATAATTTCGAGGTTGTATTCCTCATACGGAGGGGGCCTAACGCGTGAGTGATGGCTGCTTGTGCGCGCGCAAGCATCCGTACAGATTAGGTGACCGCCCGGGGCGGGTGTAGTCCTCAACAGTTTTCAGTACTCAATGCCCCCGCACCGCACACAAACACAGGAGTGATCGCTCGAACATTGTTATAAACGAAACCGATGTCTGCAACGTGAGTCCTTCTTCACACGCATTAGCCAAGTGTGCCATATCAATGGGGCCCGCCGCCGTTGACATTGCCAGGATTGGCAAGTAAGCTTGCCGCGCAAGATATAACAGTAGTTGCATGCAAGACGATTACTAAGCTATCAGTTAGCGCAAGCGAACACCAGCAGCAGACGACAGGAGACGCAAAACATGTGCTAGAAACGGAAGCAAGACGATAAGCTTGATCAAACAATGATAAGGAATATAACAATTTGGCAGCCGTAAATAGAAGGAGAAATGAGACGAAGATGCTTCAAACTTAGCATCACTGCCGCGCACGCATACTGCAAGTAAAAGCATACGAATGTGTAGTAAGCAGGAAAAAGAAGATATATAAATTACCTTTCTATGCGCTTGCTGGCAAACCTGCACTCAAACCTGCACTCAAGAATTTACTGCCTCGTCCTTCCACAAAGGTTATTATGCGATCAATAAGAGGCGCAAGCGCGTGTGGTAAGTACGCGGTACCGATCAGCCCAAAACAAAGCATTACCACCCAATCAAGAAGAAGCTTTATTTTTTCATTTCTCCAAGCCATGTTGCGAATGCTGCCGCCCAACGACTACCGAAATGTTGACCGTACTCATGAACGTTGACCCTAAGCCACAGCTGATTGGTATGTAGGGCAGCAGGCGTTTGAAGAGTGGCCATCGAACAGTGAGATGGAGCTGTGCACATTCCGTCCACGTAGTTAGGTTGGTAGTCGAGCAGTGCATGCCATGCGAGGTAGAGGCCGGGGAAGAGGGCGGGAAAGCACTTCAATACGCGGAACACGTGCGCGCGTTCAAACACGCCTTGCATAGGATCGCGTGGGGTACGATCTAATACTGGACCGTTGCAAGAACTCGGGGAAATACAACGGCGTAAAAGCAGCAGCAGCAGCTCGCACAGCAACGGCCAGGAGCGAGCGAGCGAAGCACTGCGAAGCACGTCACACTGACTTACCAGACATTAGACACGCAAAACTCTTGCAAAGTGATATCGTTCTTCAGCTCCATACAAATCTCTGCACCGTTAGCAGTTGCCCGGTTCCAAGTCAGGCCAGAAACTGCACGCAGTGAGGTTAAGAATTTGCGGGAGGAAGGCGGGGTAAATAAAAATAAACGATGTAGCAATAAATAAGCTAGTAAAAATAAATAACCGACCTAGCAATAGTAAATTGCAAAGTCCTCGTATGTACGCTGATAGGCCATG